CAGACATTTAAACCATAAAACATTTATGGTTTAAGACATATTAGTGTTTATAGCAATACAGTTATAAGAACCCCAGTGCGCACAGTGCAGCAGGTAGACTCTGAGAAGCAGGGTACAGAGCGGCATCCTCCCAGTTTAATGAGTCTGTTTATTCAAATTCACCTTCGCACAGGCGGTCATGTGGTCGTCAGCAAACGAAAAGCCGGAGAGGAATGTCACAAACAGTTGCCAAAGCAGGAGATGCAAAGGGTACTACTTCACCTCAAGCAAACTGCATGAATGAATTTACAAGTCTATATTTATTTAAATACCAAAATAAAAGGCGGACGGGATACGTGTGCGTTACGAGGATGAATTATTATTATTATTATTATTATTGATATAATCGCATTATTACTGGCTGTTGTAGGAATGAATGGAAGTGACAGCAACACAGACGGAATGGATGGTTTGGAGGTTGAAGATGAACTATGACTTTATGACGACAACAAAATGGTGAGTAAATGTCGTTTCTCGCTTTTTTTCCTCCCCCGAAAAGAAAATGAGTTGCGCTCCTTTTAAATTTGTTTTGCTATAGTTGGTCTATACGTCTTTCTTTTCTTTTCTTTTCTTTTTTAAGTTTTAAAGCAGCACTTTTTATAATCGCGCTTCAGTTCTGCTGATAGGCTGTTAAAGCTAAACGCGCCTACTAGTCCTCTGAGGTCTTATTACATTTAATACATATTTATTCTCCGCTTTATATTATCATTTATTTGACTTTTACTATTATGTTGTATATTTACAGACTCATAATTGACATGAGTTTTATTGAAAAAGAATATTCTGGTCTAAAAGGGACGCACTGTTGGTATCAGTAGAATTTAACAAGGAAACTACAATAGGGCATGCCACACGAAACATAAACAACTGAAAAGGAACAACAAAACAATCAGACAGTGTATGTAATTGTGATGTGATTGTCTCGACTACAATACATGTTTAGAACACTGTTTGAGAGATCATCCGTAAATAGCAAAGTTGGGTTGTTGTGAGAGGAAATAACCTTTGCTCTCACTACACTCACGACTTCACAACTGGACTTCAGGTGGGAAATCCTGCAATAAAATACAAAAATAAATAAATTTAAAAAACACACATCTTTTGGATAAAAGATAATGCTGTTTTTGTTTTTGTTGTTGTTGTTGTTTTAATTTAATCTAATATATTGGATCTTGGGAACCATATAAAAGTTGCATTTAAAATGCAAACTTGCATTGCAAACCAAAGGTTATATATCCTCCAATGTAAGTTTTTTTTAAAAACATTAAACTCAGAACAAAAAGAAAAAAAAACATTTTATAAGTTCATTGTTATCAGTGTGACTTTATGGTTTATGTCTCTTGTGCACAGTTCAGGGAGATGGAGGACGAGATATGCCTCGGCTGTAAGGTGTCTTTCAGCGCATCATGCGCTGAAGCCCCTGGTTGCCAGTCTGGTCCTGCTGGTTGTGGTGATATATGGTCTGGGAGACAAACTCAGAAACTTTGTGGCTTCCGTTTTTATCCCTCAGTATCGCTACCCGTATCCTGTGGCCCTCAGCTTTGCCCAGGTTGGTGTCTGCAACTTTTGGATTTTCTTCTTTTGGACACAACCAAACTCTGATTAGAAAGGATAAGGTCAAAAATACCTTTTTACAAATTAGTATAAATAGTAATTTATATAAGTGAGAAAAAAGGTCATGTGAGGCCACTCAAATGCTTTTTAGTTTACACAAAGCTCTGTTTCTTGACCGCAGGGTATTTGCTTTTGCTTCAATTACAGGTGCATTTATAATAGCTTTGCCAACATCAAGGCAAATAATGAAGTTACATATTGCAAAAGAAAAAAGTAGGAAGTTATAACAAACATTCGAATGGTCTTTCAAAATGTAAGCTTAATCATTGGATTGTTGTTAATCATTTGTGCCGCCAGCTGTGGTGGTCAGTGAAATCCTATCAATAATTGCTGTTTGTGCTAGTTTAAAGGTGAAAGCAGACGTAGAGGGAAGTGACAGAAGGACGTTACTGCTGATAACACGTGTGCAGGATAGATGATTAACCATATTATTGCCCAAAGAACTCAGATGCAAGTGTGACGCTGTACAAAGGTGGAATTAACTTTTGGGTGTCCAGCTTTGACCTCAACTGCTGATATATAGGAGAGGTGCTATACTGACTAAATGATTCTATGGTCCACAAGCTAACATTGCCTGTAACACCTGAAAATGAGTCACAGGACCGGTTGGGTTTAGTCCACGTCTTATCCATATGACCCGCTTTATATGCATTTTGTTTATGAGGTCCTTCAGAAGAATAGTAAATGTGTAGGTATGTCGCAGCATATTTATCATAAATTCAAGCATGCAGAAATCAGGATGTGTTAGTGAAAAGTCAACAGCATATGCTCACACTTCATTAGGTACACCTTGCTAGTACCAGGCTAGACTACCCTTTGCATTCCAGACTTCATTGTTTGTTGGACGGATTCAACAAGGTGCTGGAAACAGTCCTCTGAGATTTTGTTTCATATTGACATGATCACATCGCACATCAATCCTGTTTCACCACATCCTAAAGCTGCTCCATTGGACTGAGATCTTATTAACCACCAGCTGAACTGGTAATAATGAAGTGCCCCCGAGTGTAGAATATTATTGTGCAAAGAATGGCTAATTGTAATGTATTACCCACCCAATAAACTACAGCTGCTTGAGCATGAAATGACGTAAGCATTTATTTCACTATTAGTTCATAGTGTAGTAGTGTTTAATATCTCTACAGTTAACTCATTTACTTGCTAACCTGTTCGATAGAAATCCATCACAATATTTACAGGCTCTAAAGTGGCAACATTGAAATGATTAAGTGTGCTGTCAAAAACAGAAATGATGATGATGATGATGTACAATATTAATTAAAATAGATTGATTTTTTTTATTACTTTTTCCTTGTTTGACTTTTGCTTAAAATATAAATATTTTTTAAAGTAGATGTGAACTCTGTTCCCTTTTGTCAGGACTAGTTCAAAATTATGACCCAAAATGACCCTGCAGGCAAATTGCTGATGAAGAGGCACTCTCTCAGTCTCAGCTGTAAACGTTACTACCTTTCACACATTCCAGTTTGTGTTAACATGCCTTAGCCACATGGATTGAAGTAAATATTTACCTATCATTAAAAATGAGTGATTCACATTAACACTTGTAGGCTTTTTTAAAGTTAGATAATTGTTTATTTTTTTATATTCTGTCTTTTCAGGTTCTGGTGTCTCTCTTATTCTTAAATCTCCTGCATGCCCTGGATCTGGTGCATCTAAGAAGTTATTCAAGGTCCCTGGGTGAGAGGATGTTGCCGTCTGCTATCTGTAGCAGCATTCAAGCAGTGCTGACCATGTGGGCCAAAGCCAGCAGCTCATCTTCCAACCTCTTCGTCCTCATGGTGCTTCTGCTGCCCCTGGTGACTGTGGCCTTTAGTTTTGCCTTGAAGCTGGCATCCCCACCAGCAAGCCACATCACTGCTCTGACTTTCATCATCAGTGGGACCTCTGTGATCATCACAGGTAAAAGTTTGGATATCAGATGATTGTTTCACATATTAGAGTAAATGAACCTCTAATTAGTTTTCTCTTTCTGTCTGTCTGCAGCATCTGAGGGTCTCTTAAATATTGTGCCTCTGGAGTATATATATGGACCTCTGGCTTTAATCCTGCACAGCCTGTCTCTGACTTGGCTTGCTAAAGTGTCTGAGATGGAGCGCAGCCACCCTCCAGATTCCCAAGCCTCTGTTTTTGACATCTACTATACACAGCTGGTGAACCAGAGCTGGGTGTTGGGCCTCCTGTGGTTTCTGCACCCAGAGCGTCCCTGGCATGTGTTGAGTCAGGCCAACTGGCGCATCCTGCTCTTCCATGGATACCTGCTCGCTATTCTCCTGCTGGGAATGGTGCTGAGCTTCCTGGTCGGTGTAGTGGCTCTTTGTGTCTCACCCCTTGCTGCTGCACTGCTCCACTCAGCGAGGTACATAGTTCAGCCATTTTTTCAGCTTCTGTAAAGGACTAAAAGATTTAGTAGGTCGTCTTGCACTCCACTGACCCTAACCAAAGTGTTATACCTGTAGATACTAGCTTTATTCATCCGTTATCAGTCAATATCCACTCACATTACAAAGTTATAAAAGACAAAATGCAGGCTACGGTGGCACACTAACGATATACGGTTAGTTATTATGTGTCATCACAAGTTTTTATCTTATTCTTTTAATATGTTATTAAGACGATACATGCCCTAGCTACTTGTGACTTTCTGCAGCGTGAGCAACATGAGTGCTGTTGCTCGCACTTTCTAAATCAGTGGCACTAATGGAAAATAGTTTACAAGCTAGGTATTTATTAATGAAACAGTTAAGCGTCAGGGGTCAAACATTACAATTTTTCTTTCAGACATGAAGCTGAAGTATTAAGCAACTATCAACAAGCTGAATTTCTCTTATGTACAAATAAACAAACAAAATAAATGTGAGTCGTTTCCAGTTTTATGACATTAATTTCTGAGAGCTCTTAACAGCGGATGTGCTGAACATCCCTAGAAGTAGTCCTCGTATGACGCTGACAGCTTTCATAGGAAAAGGGATGACAATGACAGAATGTTGACACAGATAGTTAACATCATAAAACAAGTTAGCAATTTAAATTCGCTTAGTTAACTGAATTAATACTTAACCAGAGACAGACAAAAGTTGCCCTTGAATGAATCTGACTGCAGAGATGCCAGATGAGAAGGGGGTTCACATGTGGAAAGAGCTGAACGCTCATTCTAGTGCTGCTGTTCTTTTTGTTGTAATTGAGTATTTCACATTTTTATTAGAAGCCAAATTGTTTCCTAGTCATTCTTGAGCTTTTTGGAAAATGTTTATATGCATCATTTTTAAAATTACTCTTGAATATGCTAAGAAAATGTGAATTATGCTGACAATTTGAATAAAAAATAAGAATGAAAAACGGCTTTATTTAGAAAAATATTTTTTGTAGTTGAACAAAAACCACCATAAGTGCACGCAACAATTACACAAAGCAACAGGTATTAAAAATTTACAGTTAACCTGATATAAATGCTCATTTGCTGCAAAATCTCACTTTCAGTTAACCGTAATTTCAAACAGATGAATTTAAGGTATTTTTAATATTAACTTCATCTGTGTTACAAGCAATTTCAGTGCTTCCATCAAGCACACTGTGTCTGGTGTTTATTATTTAGCTGCTGGTCTTTCCTGTGCTGTTAACTTCCCACATCTCATTAGGCCAAACGACACATATAAATTATTTGATTCTACTTCCTGCCCTTTATGCGGGATCAGAGTTGGGTGGTAGATGTATGCCCAAGCTCTGCAGCAGATTGGAAGCTGGTCCTGCCAGCCCAGCCTGGGAGCTGAGGGACTCCAGCAAGTTTGTGACCAAATTGACATCCACATCTAAGGGCTGGATCTCCTCCTCTTTCTCCTCCAGTTTGTTATCCCTTGGGAGATCGTCTCTGGCAGAAGGGTGAGAGGAGTCGCCGCTTGCTCCTGCCTTGTTGTAATTCTGCAGATATGATAAAGATAGGTTCAGGGTGACACCTGTGTCCTGCGCATATCTTTTGAATAGTTTTTATCTTAGCAAAGGAAGGCGTGTTACGAGAGTTTACCGTTCGCTTGAAGCTTTGTCCTACATTAGTCTTCATCAGTTCCTCATCCATTTGGTCCATATATTTTTTGAGACTGTCCAGAGTTTCTGTTCCTTTCATCTCTGCTTGACCACAGAAGCCATCTTCTTTCTCTTCTACCTCCTCCTCCTCCTCCTCATCATTATCAGAATCATCAAGATCATCTGAATCCAGCTCTTCGTCTTTGCCTCCTAGAAAAAACAAAAAAGACAAATTCATTAATGATTTTAAAAAGAAAATTGTAGCAAGTTCATACCACATATTTCACTGTTGGCAAATTTCATACCAAGTAGTCTTCCCAGTGCGTTGGCCATTGAGTCTGGATCAATATTAAAAGGCTGGGTTGCACTGCTCCTGGAATAGAAATGAAAAAGATTGTCGGTATGACAATGTAGGCCTAAATAAATTAGGCTTGCAAGAATATACACATACCAATTTACAGCTCAGGGAGACCATTAAGGGAAAACTATGCTCATACTACATCCATATGAATATTAAAATCTGATAAATTTTTGGCTAAATATGAACAAAAGATTTCAAAGTCACTTATTCTCACCAGGGCAGTTCTGCACCTTCATGCGAAGACATGGCCTTGAGGAAGTTCTTCATCCCTTGACTGATAGCTACCAGGCTGAAGCCAGCTTCCTCTTCCTCTATGTTGTCCTCCTTCTCCTTTCCCCTCTCCTCTGCATCCCCGACATGCTGTTTCTGTTTGGTGGAACTTGAGTTTTGGCTGCCAACATCAGCTCTACCCCCACTTCTCTCCTGCAACAGCCGCTCCAAATCCTGAGCTGTGATATCCAGCCAGCTATCACCTGGAGGTTGACAAAGAGAAAAACTAATTATGGGAAATGTCCGTAAGAAAAAAATGGAGAGAATGAGGGAAGCATAACAAAAGGACAGACACTGAAAGAAACTGGCACAAGGCGAAGAATCTTAGGTGGCTGAGATAGACAACGGCAATGCTCACTTTCTAGCAAGGTGATATTAAAGTTACAATGCTTAACAACTAACATACAAATCTTCCAGAGACAGACAGGTGTTCTTACCCTAGCTAGGAAAATTACACTTAACTTAGGTCTAAATTAAGTATCCTCACATTGTGCCTTCATGGATCACTTGGCAAATGTGACTAATGTCTTTCAGTATTAAGAAAGACAATTATTTACACTCACACATTATTTATATAAGATTTTGCCAGTTTCTAGTCAGGATTTTCA